ATCTGCTTTATCTTAGACTGTTCATGCTAGTCTCATCTTTTGTTTAGCAATGTAGTGTGCTAATGTAAGCATATAATTAGCCGAGGATGTAAAGGAAAGACAGCAAGTGAGATCAAAAGTATGTGTATGCTTAACTTAATGTTGCATGGAATTGTAATATTTCTGAAACATTTCACTGACACATTCTATGCAGAGGACACGGGAAAGGCTTCACTTTACCTGACCACTTCCCCAAAGAAAGCATTGCATTCAAATTCAAAGGACTGTAGAGTTGGAAAGGACTGCAGGAGCCATGACGTCTGACTTCATGGCTCTTGCAGGAATATACTGAAAGATGTCCATCCAACTTCTGTTGAAAGACCTCCAAAGAAAGAGAGTCCATCAGATTCGGTGGTAATCTATTCCACTGTCAATAATAATAATAATAATAATAATAATAATAATAATATATGGGTTCTGTGGCAATATATGGCAAACATTCAGTGTCACTATACAATTAACAAGGACAGACAATATATAAAGAAAGGTTTTCCTATCTTTTTCTATTTCTGGCATCTGGAGGCTATGCTCGATTCTGGCCACAGGGGGTGCTGTCACTTTATCTTCCATGCTGAGGAGGTTTGACATCCTTAGATATCATCCCAATCGAATTGCCGGCAGGTCCTTATGGACGCCTTTTATTACCTCCCAGCTTAAAGCGGTACCTATTTATCGACTCACATTTCTTTTTTGATCTGCTAGGTGGGCAGGGAGCTGGGGCTGATAGTGGGTATTCACCCCAACTCGGCTTGTACTGCCAACCTTTTGATCAGCAGGATTTTCTGCAGCTTAGCGGTTTAACCCGCTGTGCTAAGCCCGGCCCCAAAAGCCTTCACAGCCTGATGTTTAGGTGGAATTTCTTTTTTTGTGATTCAAATCCATTAGTTTGTGTTCTAGTGTCTGGAGCAGCAGAAAATAGCTTTCTCCATCTTCTACTTGAAATTGTTTCAGTTATTTAGCGACAGCTATCATGTCTTAGTCTTCTCTTCTCTGTACTGAATATTTCTGTACCTTAAGACGTTCCTTATAGGGTTTAGTTTCCAGACCTTTCACCTTTTTGATTGCTTTCCTGGACACTTTCCTTCACTAATTGTGGTGCCCAGAACTGGACACAGTATTCCTCCAAGAGAGATCTGATCAATAATAATAAGAATACACTTTATTTATATTCCACCCTTCCCTCCTAGGGGACTCAGAGTAGATTACAGCATTTATATACATAGGCAAGCATTCAATGCCTTTACAATCACATGAGATACACAAACACAAGCAAAGGCAAGGCTTCTTCTTTCATTTCCGGCATCTGGAGGCGATGCTCATCTCTGGCTCTGGGGGAGGGTTTTTCTCCATTTTCAAGCCGAGGAGCCTGCGTTGTCACCTCCTGGTCATGTGGCCGGCAAGATTTGCCTTTTCCCACCAAAAGCAGTACCTATGTATCTACTCACATTTGTGTGTTTTTGAACTGCTAGGTTGGCAGGAGCTGGAGCTGACAGGTGGGAGCTCACCCTCTCATGGATTTGAACTGCCGACCTTCATGTCAGCAGTTCAGCAGTACAAGGGTTTAACCCAGGGGTCTTCAAACTAAGGCCCAAGGGCCAGATACGGCCCTCCAAGGTCGTCTACCCAGCCCTCGCTCAGGGTCAACCTAAGTCTGAATCAACTTGAAAGCACACAACAGCAACAACAATCCTATCTCATCAGCCAAAAGCAGGCCCACACTTCCCACTGAAATACTAATAAGTTTATATTTGTTAAAATTGTTCTTCATTTCAATTATTGTATTGTTTTTAAGTGTTTTTTGCACTACAAATAAGATATGTGCAGTGTGCATAGTAATTAATTCATATTTTTTTCAAATTATAATCCGGCCCTCCAACAGTTTGAGGGACTGTGACCTGGCCCTCTGTTTAAAAAGTTTGAGGACCCTTGGTTTAACCCATTGCGCCGTTTTGGCCCAATCAACACAGAAGTCTCTCGATCTGGAAATTACACTTTGGTCAAACCAACCTAGAATTGGATTGGATTTTTGGCTGTTGAATCATTATTAACAGCAACAACATTTCTATAGATGTATATTGTATGGCGGTTCCTCATGCAGCAGTGTCAGTGAAATGGTCTCAGTTAGTACTTACCTTTGTTTCACATGGAACTAATGAATAGTATGCCTTGGACTCCACCGTTAAAACCATTAACTCCCACAAAATTATGGATTTAGTAGATTTAATCACGTTAGCCTGATCACCAGAATACATTGTCTACTGTCTATATAAATTACACTATATATCTATATAAGTATACTGGCGGGTGGGACATTTTTCCTCCACGCATGCAATGTTGTAAATGCAAAATATGCTGGTGAAAATGGGTTTCGCTGTTTAGTATCAATATCTCATATCTGTGCTACTTCTAACTGGTAATCTTGTTTTGCACTGTGTGGTGTCTGATATCCCCCTAACATCGATCATTGGGCTTTGGTGAACTCTGACCCTTCCAGGTCCTCCAGGTTAGATTCTTAACTTGGTTGGTTTGCTTTTCTGCATTGCATTGGTTGTTTACAATGTTACTTTGACTGTAAATCCGAAACTGACAGCCTGAGATGTACTAACAAGCCAGGGCTTATCGTTATGCAAACAATCTAGGCAAACATCGCCTCCTTTCCTTTCCTCTCCTTTCCTCTGCCTGGCTTGCAAAGAGATCAGAAACATTTGCTTATCTTTTTGGTTGACTATAGTTTACTGGAGTTCTCCAAACTTATATGCAATAAGGTTAGGCTTAGCTGATATGGAGCAACTTCAAATCATGGTTTATAAAGCTTGCTTGTTTCGATACATCATAACCAGATTGTATCATTACTCTTAACTGTTGTTTAGAGAAACTAGCCAACTTTAGATCATGATTTGTGAAGCTAGCAATGCCAGTTTAGAACTTAAACACAACCTTAACTATAGTCAATTGAAAAGCAACATTTTCTAATCTTGTTGTGGAACACATTTAATTGGAAAGGATTTGTTATTATTGCGACAAAATTTGTTTTTTGTTCGATATCTACATCTTTTCAGGCTAAATAATAGCTAAATTATATATAATTTCCTGACCGTTTTTGCAAAGCTACTTGGCAAGAGAGGCACCCAGAGTATTGGTTCAAACTTTGATTTCTCTGACCCATATTCAAGTCGCAAAATGCCCCATCTATTTTGCTATTAATTTGTGTTGGTTTCCCTCTATTTATTTATTTAAAACATTTATATTCCACCCTTCTCACCCCGAAGGGGACTCAGGGCACAGCATATACACGGCAGACATTCAATGCCAGGACACAAATTCACATACACATACATAAATATTAAAAAATATTTATCAAAATATTAAATTACACCATTTAAAACCATCCTAGTCATCCGCATCAAGTCTAATTGGCCTGGTCATCTTTCCTATTGCTGCTTTATTGCCCTGTCACGAAAGCTTGGTCCCACAGCCAAGTTTTTACCATTCTTCTAAAGGACAGGAGGGAGGGGGCCGACCTGATCTCACTAAGAAGGGAGTTCGATAGCTGGGGAGCAATCACCGAGAAGGCCCTGTCTCTCGTCCCCATCGATTGCGCCTGTGACAATGGCGGGACGGAAAGCAGGGCCTCCCCGGAGGATCTTAATCTCCGTGATGGTACATAGGGAGAGATGCATTCCTCTAGCAAGGAAGTTGTGATCTCTTAGAGTGGCCAAGTTTTCCTCCTAGTAGGAGAGAAGGTACAGGAACCCATGCCTTTTCCCAATAGAAAGAAAACAGTTTGTGGGGCATCCATTGGTAACCTCAACCTTTCCAGTGCTTTCCAATGCAGTTAACCAAGATTTGTGTAAACAACAGGGGAGTGTCTAGTAGGGTGTATCTTCATTATGTGCTTCCATTTTGTCTTTTTGTGACCTTGTTCAAGTGTCCCATTTCACTCCGTTTAAGGCTGAGAAAAGAGAACCCACAATATAAGTTGGGCAGGTTTTCAAGACCTTTTACCATTCACGTGCATAAATACAATGATCCAGTATGATCCCAGTATCTATGGGACCTGTGCTTGTGGTTTCATTTACCTCACCATCCTTATGTACTCCAGGCATTTTCTAGGATCTCCTATGGTTTGCTTCCTCCAGAAGACAACTCTTTCTGCTGGAGGACCTAGAAATGTCTAGAGCAGTGGTTCTCAGCCTGTGGATCCCCAGATGTTTTGGCCTACAACTCCCAGAAATCCCAGCCAGTTTACTAGCTGTTAGGATTTCTGGGAGTTGGGATCCACAGGTTGAGAACCACTGCTCTATTTCCCATGGATACTGGTGTCATACTGGATGAAAAAGAACACAAGGGTTCTGGTGTAGTTTTCCCTCCACAATGACTATTATTGCACTATAAGTAAGGTTTGTCAGCACTGTATTCTAAGTATATTATATAATGCTAATATTATGTGAAGCCATGTGAGTTTAGGGGTATAGATAGTTTGTGTTAGTGTCTTCATCCTTGATAAGTAAGGGGTTTTGACACTGTGAGATACCCAATGAAGAAAATGGTTAACTGCTGGGAGATATTTTTTCACACTTCTTTGCCAAAAATATTTTTAGTGCAAAATACCAAAAACTGCTTATTTTGTGCAAACTACACTCATTTTTGCACAGTAATATCAGGGAGTGCAGAAAACAAGGGGTTTATTTTCAACCCATTAGCTTTTTCCAAAGCTAACTGAAGAAATAATGGAAAGTTGGCATCCCCAAAGAGTGTGTTGACTGAGGCAAGTTGTCTTATGTAGAGCACACTGTTTTGGGAAGAGTTTCCAAACTGATACCTGAGTTTGGCATTGCATCTCCCCACAATTTCAAGCAGGTTGGGTAAGCCTTTTAGCACAAGCCATGCTTACTTAGAGATGGATTAAAAAGGGTGTTGAGTCCCATTGACCCACAGACTTCTCGTTTTGCAACATCAAGGTCCAACTGGTCCAGAAGGTGCCCGTGGGCCCCCTGGAACCGGAGGGGTCAAGGGTGAAAAGGGCAACCCCGGTCCGGCTGGTCAACCTGGACTTCCTGGCTTGAAAGGAGATCAAGGACTACCTGGACGTCCGGTAGGTACCCAAGGAGAAGCCTTGATCTGGGAAGAATGATTTAGTCTGTTGTCCTTTCCAAAGTTATGTATGATTCAGGACCACTGACTTCAATGAGGTTGCCTTCATATATATGATTAGATTGTTAGTTGAGAAGTGTTGTCATTTGCTTTCAATTCAACTTTGACTTATATCAACTCGATACATGAGAGACCTCCAAGAGTCCCACCAACTGCTCTACACAGGTTTTGTAAACCCAGGATCAGTGGTATGTAATAGGCATGTGCAAAAAGTTTGGAAGTGTCAGAAATCGTAAGAAAATCAGCAGTTTAGTAAGTCGGAAGCCATATTCAAAGCATTTGCGTGGCCCACACCAAATATTTTAGAATCAAAACTTACCCCATACTTTTACATTTTCGTTTTGTAAATCTCGGAAGGCTTCCAAATTCAGTGGGTTGTTGTAGGTTTTTCCGGGCTATATGGCCATGTTCCAGAGGCATTTTCTCCTGACGTTTCGCCTGCATCTATGGCAAGCATCCTCAGAGGTAGTGAGGTCTGTTGGAAGTAGGAAAATGGGTTTATGTATCTGTGGAATGACCAGGGTGGGACAAAGGACTTTTGTCTGCTGGAGCTAGGTGTGAATGTTTCAACTGACTACCTTGATTAGCATTTAATGGCTTGGAAGTGCCTGGGGGAATCTTTTGTTGAGAGGTGAAGGATTCCTCCAGGCACTTCCAAGCCATTAAATGCTAATCAAGGTGGTCAGTTGAAACATTCACACCTAGCTCCAGCAGACAAAAGTCCTTTGTCCCACCCTGGTCATTCCACAGATATATAAACCCATTTTCCTACTTCCAACAGACCTCACTACCTCTGAGGATGCTTGCCATAGATGCAGGCGAAACGTCGGGAGAAAATGCCTCTAGAACATGGCCATATAGCCCGGAAAAACCTACAACATCCCAGAGATTCCGGCCATGAAAGCCTTCGACAATACTTCCAAATTCAGTTTCATATTCAGTGCAAGGATCGTCTGGGGAGGCCCTGCTCTCGGTCCCGCCTGCGTCACAGGCGCGCTTGGCGGGGACGAGAGACAGGGCCTTCTCAGTGGTGGCCCCTCAGCTATGGAATGCCTTACCGGTAGACATCAGACAGGCACCATCGTTGCTGGCGTTTCGGAGAAAGGTCAAGACCTGGCTTTATGAACAAGCGTTTGGTTAAACAGTGCAACCGAACATAGGAAGACGGTAAATGGAACATAGGAATGGCACAAGGATTATGAGATCGGATCTGATTTCATTGAGGCGCTATGTTTGTTTCATGTTGTTTGTTAATTGTTGTGGATCGTTGTTGTTGATCCTGTTGTTACATTTGTTGTGTTTTTAATTGCACTGACACTGTTATGATAATTTGTACCTTGTAAACCGCATTGAGTCGCCTGTTTGGGTATAGAAATAAAGCAAATAAATAATAAATAAATAAATAAATAAGGAAGCAAAGCCATTAAGCCAACAAGGTTGCCTGCCTAGAATTAATTAATGGAGTCTCGGCATTAGGAGCTGTGAAAAGAGGAAGCAGTGCATTTTGGCAATGCAGAACTCTGGGAAATGTAGTTTGGGAAGAGGAGGAACCCTATGCCAAAGAATTCAAAAGGCTCTGCCCTAAACTACATTTCCCAGTATGCATCAGCATCAGAAAGCCCCAATTAGAAGAGGAGATTGGTCTATCGCCAGCCAGAGTTCAATTGTAAATATTCTACACTGTGATTTCTGTTCCTGGGCCATAAATGGCAGTTCCTAATTGGTTGTGCCATAAAAACATGGTGAAAGTTTAGTACACTGCAAAAACTTTGTCTTTGTGCGAGGGACATCGTCCTCTATACAGCACGTTTTGATTTGTTGAGTCTCCACAAAGCAAAGTTTCTGCCACAAAATCAAAGTTTTTTGATAGAACAACTACTTTCAAAGTAAAGACTATATGATTTAACAGGAAATAACACTTTCAAAGTAGGAACAGATTTTAAAATGTTGTTTATAAAAACTTTGAAAATTCACCCAAAATCCATGGATAAGTGAAACATTCTGAAATTTGGTGGGTTAATAGTGGTCAATATGTTCTACCATTGTAGCAAGTTTCACCCCAATAGCTTTAAAAATAAGGGAGATGGGAGCCCCTGAAGTTTCCCCAATTATTGTAATTTATTTATGTGCAATTACTGTAATGAAATAGTAAAGAAATTTCATTATTCTCATTATAGTAACAAAATTTTCACTAACTATACTTTAGAAACACATTAGAAATGAGACGTCAGCATCCCCCCACCCCCAAGTTTTGTAATGAACCATTTTTAATGGATTGCACATCCCTAATATGTACATGTGACAGTTGGGTTTATATCTGAAATATATGTGCGAGTGTGAAAGTATGGGACAGTCCTATCAACAGCTGGCATGGTGTGTTAGTTTGGATGTTGATCTGGGATGCCAGGAGACCAAGCCTAAAATCTCAGCTCAGTCAAGGAATCCTTTAAGGAGCTTGAACAAGTGGCATTATTCAGTATGCTTGTCTTCAGCCCAATCCTTTGCTTTTCCTTTGGTACTTCTTTGCAATGAGAATAATAACCAATGCTGTATTATCTCAGGGTGAACCAGGACGTCCAGGTCTGAATGGAATGAAAGGCGATCATGGTGTCCCAGGTGTTCCAGGATTTCCAGGTATATTAAAAGACAATTATTTAAGAGAAGGGGCTAGAATTGTGCTGATCTCCATATGTTCTTAGGCTGCAATTTTCGATATTCCTCGCCAATGGCTTTGCTGGCAAGGGCTACTGGGAGGGTGGCACAGTTTTGCTTTAGAGTAGTATTTCCCAAACTTTGGTCCTCCCAGATTTCTGGCTGTAGCCAAGCTAGCCACATCTTCTGGGAATTGAAGTCCAAGACAGTTGGAAAACCAAAGAGCAACAAGATGAAGGTTGCTTGGGGAATTTATGTATATGCAAAATAAGTTATCTATAACATAGTTGAGTGTAACATAGAATCATAGAGTTGGAAGAGACCTCATGGGCCATCCAGTCCAACCCCCTGCCAGGAAGCAGGAAAATTGCATTCAAAGCACCCCTGACAGATGGCCATCCAGCCTCTGTTTAAAAATTTCCTCTACCACATTCCAGGGCAGAGAGTTCCACTGCTGAACGGCTCTCACAGTCAGAAAGTTCTTCCTAATGTTCAGATGGAATCTCCTTTCTTGTAGTTTGAAGACATTGTTCCGTGTCCTAGTCTTCAGGGCAGCAGAAAACAAGCCTGCTCCCTCCTCCCTGTGACTTCCTCTCATGTATTTATACATGGCCCTCATCATGTCTCCTCTCAGCCTTCTCTTCTTCAGGCTAAACATGCCCAGCTCTTTAAGCCGCTCCTCATAGGGCTTGTTCTCCATACCCTTGATCATTTTAGTTGCCCTCCTCTGGACACATTCCAGCTTATCAATATCTCTCTTCAATTGTGGTGCCCAGAATTGGACACAGTATTCCAGGTGTGGTCTAACCAAGGCAGAATAGAGGGGTAGCATGACTTTCCTGGATCTAGACACTATACTCCTATTGATGCAGGCCAAAATCCCATTGGCTTTTTTTTTTTGATGTCGCATCACATCTCTTTAATACAGGAGACAGTAGGTGAAAGAACTGCTCATTCAGATGTTGTTGTTTTTTCCCCTAACCGTTATGTATTAACTGCAAGAATTTGACCTTTCAGGGATGAAGGGACCTCTTGGACCTCCAGGACCACCTGGCCTTGGAGGAGACCCTGGACTTCCAGGTTCACCAGGTAGGAGATGGATGTTAGTGTCACTAACATTGAAAGACAACATAATGGGCTGGTGGGACAAAGTCTTCTTACTATTGCTGGTTTTGACTTGTATCTGAATGCCATTCCAAAGGCCATTCCCTCATTTGTCTTCATTCTGCTTCCATTGCTGTGAAATAATAGTTCCCTCAAAGACCCATCTCCAATACAATAAAAATATATTTGTATGGTAAATCATGTGGAATGATGCCAAAGGAGCCATCAGAAGAAACTGAGCAGATACAGAATTGTAGTTAGGGGCCTTGTAGGCTATGTAAACCAACTTCTTGCTCAAGGCCCAGAAGGGGAACATCCCTAGAAGCCAAATGTCCAACCTCTACTTAAAGATATATACTTTGGCATCATGCTATCTTTCCTTTGTCCTAGGTACTCCAGGGATACCTGGCCCAGCTGGACAAACCATTGTGGTGAAAGGAGACCCTGGTCCTCCAGGTCCACCAGGTCAGCCTGGAATGAAAGGTCTACCTGGTGTATCAGGTCCTCCGGGCTTGCCAGGTAAGCTCCTTGCTGGAGGTGTAAGGAACATAGTTTTATTGCATGACTCAAGATGGTGATATCTCAGGTGTGTTTGTCAAAAATGTTCCATAATTCTGTACTCAGGTCCAATCGGCCTTCCTGGTGATGCTGGTCGAGATGGGCTGCCTGGGTTTGATGGTCCAGGAGGACGTAAAGGGGAGCGAGGACTTCCAGGGCAACCAGGTATGGTAAGCGCTTCTTCCTTGTGCAGAATTTAATCCACAAGGAACAGAGAGGAACCCGATGTTTATGTTGAGTTAAGTCATTGACTGTCAATGAGGAGTAGTATATTTTATGAAAATTCTGGGAATCATCTATATAAATAAAAATGTAATGGGTTGTTGTAGGTTTTTTCGGGCTGTATGGCCATGGTCTAGAGGCATTCTCTCCTGACGTTTCACCTGCATCTATGGCAAGCATATGCTTGCCATAGATGCAGGCGAAACGTCAGGAGAGAATGCCTCTAGACCATGGCCATACAGCCTGAAAAAACCTACATCAACCCAGTGATTCCGGCCATGAAAACCTTCGACAATACACAAAAATATAATGTTCATTTGTGGGATTAACATAACTCAAAAACTACTGAATGAATTGACACCAAATTTGGACACAAAACACCTATCAGGCCAATGAGTGGCCATCGCTCATAAAAACACTGGCAAACACAGTAGAAGAGGCTTAAAAAGCCAAAAATTTACCAAAAAAATACATTACAACGCATGCGCAAAACTACATATATATATATATGCAAACACACTTATATACACATATACACAAAAAAAACCACATCTACACAGATTGGGCTACAGCAACGCATGGCAGGGGATGGCTAATTGTCCAATAAAATAACTTGTTTTCCCACAATATTGCAACAGGTGGTTGAGGCCAATGAACTGGAAGATTGAAATGTTGTTTAAGACGGGAAGCAGATTGTTTCACGAAGCTAGAAGAAAGGGATAGTCAGAATAAGCAGATCTTTCCTTTGAAATGATAAAAAAAATAACAGCCAGATTCTTATTTGCAAATAGAGTATTATATCACTTTAGAACCTGGGAAAGAGTACTTGCTTTTCTTGCATTTTTCATACATGCCTCAATTTTCTGCAGCAGCTTTCTGCAATTTGAAAACAAAAAATGCTTCCTAATAATAATAATAATAATAATAATAAGGTTGCTCGCTGGAGTAGTGTAGCACACACACACACACACACACCCTTTTGTGTCAGCTCCGCTGACTGCCAGTCTGCTACTGAGCAGAATTCAAAGTGCTGGCTTTGGCCTATAAATCCCTAAATGCTTCCTGTCCAGCTTACCTGTCCATACACATCTCCTTTTATGAGTCAGCTAGAACACTAAGATCTGCTGGGGATGTCCTGCTCTCAGTCCCGATGCCATCGCAGGTGAGATTGGTGAGGACGAGGGACAGGGTCTTCTCAGTGATAGCCCCTCAGCTGTGAAAGTCACTCCCCATTGAGATTAGATCAGCCCCCTCCCTCCTAGCATTTAGGAAACAACTTAATACTTGATTATTCAAGCAGGCATTCGGCAAATGATAGAAATATGGAAGTAGTTAACACACTGGGATTGATACAAGGCGTCAATGTTTTATGTTGGGTCTGTGATTGCGTTTATAGTTTTATAGTTTTAATTATTTTAATCTATTGTTATTTGTTGTCTATTTGATATGTGATGTTTATACATGCGAGGCATTGAATTTTGCCATTGATTATGTTGTGAACCACTTTTAGTCCCCCCCAGGGGTCAGAAAAGCAGTATATAAATGCAATAAATATATAAATATATAACTTTCCAGATTGATTAAAAAGCAGTAGCAGATGCAGTTCAAATAAAAGCAATGCAAATCAAGGAGTCTAGCCAATAATACTGAAAAATTGGCACATTAAGTGACAGCTTAAAGATTTTTTTAAAGATTCAGTTTAGCAAAGAAAAGCAAGAAGAGGAGAAAAGCTCAGAGAAGATTCTCAATATTTATTTATATATATACTGCTTTTCTCACCCCTGGCAGGACACAAACCAATATACAACAAATAATGGCAAAATTCAATGCCTTACATACATAAAAGCAAATCATAAATCTAAATAACATATAGGTAAGAAAGGTAAAGGTTTTCCCCTGACATTAAGTCTAGTTGTGTCCAATTCTGGAAGTTGGTTCTCATCTCCATTTCTAAGCCGAAGAGCCACCATTGTCCGTAGACATCTCCAAGGTCATGTGGCCTGATTGACTGCATGGATCGCCATTACCTTCTCAATGGAGCCGTACCTATTGATCTGTTCACATTTTGCCAATAAAGGCTTATTGGATTGGATAGGATTGTTCATATTTTCCATATTTCAAACTGCTAGGTTGGCAGAAGCTGGGACTAACAGTGGGAGCTCACTCTGTTCCCTGGATTCGAACCACCGGCTTTTCGGTCAGCAAGTTTAGCAGCTCAGCAGTTTAAACTGCTGCGCCACTGGGGGCTCCAAACAACATGTAACTAAGCATAAATTCAATAGGACAAGTAAGCCTAAGAGGACAATTAAACATAAAAACATAAAAATTAAAAACACCTAATAAAAACATTAAAATCACATTTGTTTATTTTTCTGTCTCTCTATGAGTTCTCCCCTGCAGACAGTTCTGCCCCTTTATCTCACCCTGAGTTATTAAATCAGTTTTTAAAATAATTTTATGTACATGAAGCCCACTCTCTGTCATTATGTTTCTATGTTTTGTGTATATTGTTTATATGCTTTGATGTTTTATACTTTATTGTTATGTTGTTTATTTTACCACAATTTGTATTTTTTGTTTTGTAACTTGTTGTTCGGGCTTGGCCCCATGTAAGCCGCTCCGAGTCCCCGTTGGGGGAGATGGTGGCAGGGTATAAATAATAATAATAATAATAATTATTATTATTATTATTGTATTGTCGAAGGCTTTCATGGCCGGAATCACTCAGTTCTTGTGGGTTTTTTCGGGCTATATGGCCATGTTCTAGAGGTATTTCTCCTGACGTTTCGCCTGCATCTATGGCAAGCTTCCTCAGAGGTCTGCTGGAGCTTGGCAAGATGCAGGTGAAACGTCAGGAGAAATGCCTCTAGAACATGGCCATATAGCCCGAAAAAAACCCACAAGAACGGATTATTATTATTATTTGGTATTTATGGGCTATGTGTTGTCGAAGGCTTTCATGGCCAGAATCACTGGGTTGCTGTAAGTCTTTTGGAGCATATAACCATGTTTCAGAAGCATTCTATCCTGATGTTTCGCCTCACAACCTCTGAGGATGCCTGCCATAGATGCAGGTGAAACGTCAGGACAGAATGCTTCTGGAACATGGCCATACAGTCCGAAAAACTTACAGCAATCTATTTATAGGCTGTTACAAAGAGGATCCTGCTACTTTTCCTTACTAGGTTTGCCACAACCACATTTGAGACATAAGAAAAGATTCCTCAGAAAATTTTAGGGGATGTTTTTCAACAGTTTGGCAACTTTTTCAAAGAATCTGCATCTGCTTTGGCTTCCTCATCCTACCAAGAGCCTCATGTTGCATCTCAGTGTGTCATCCTTGCAGCTTGACTTCTGATCACTTGAAGGGTCTGACTTTGTTCCTCCCATCCTAACAGGTTTACGGGGTTCACAGGGTCCCCCTGGTCCAGACGGCATGCAAGGCCCCCCCGGTTCTCCTGGTTCGGCTTCAGTCGCTCATGGGTTTCTGATCACTCGCCACAGCCAGACGATTGACATACCGTCCTGCCCGGAAGGAACCGCCGAGATCTATGTTGGGTATTCTCTGCTGTATGTCCAGGGGAACGAGAGAGCCCACGGGCAGGACTTGGGTGAGCCACCATCTCTGCTCAGAAGTGTGGGAGATAACCCATGATCAAGGGGAGAGAGATATGCAATTATTTTGAAAGGCATAATAATAATAATAATAATAACAATAACAACAATAACACTTTATTTATATTCGGCTCTATGTCGCCAAGGGCTCAACATACACAGGTAGGCAAACATTCAGTGTCTTTAATACAGTGGAATTACAATGGCATACAAGTACACAGAAGAAAGGTAAAGGCTTCCCCTTTCATCTCCTGCTTTCTGGAGTTGGTGTTGAACACGGACCATGGCGAGATGCTCATTTTCCATTTCCAAACCGAGGAGCTTGTTATCCGTAGACACCTCCTGGTCATGTTTGCTGTCATGGCTTCATGGTCCCCTTTATTACCTTCCTGCCAAAGCGGTACCTATTGATCTACTCACATTTGCATGTTTTCGAACTGCTAGGTTGGCAGGAGCTAGTTCAGACAGCAGGAGCTCACCTTGACCCGCAGCTTCGAACTGCCAGCCGTTAAGTTGGCAGATTCAATAGTTCAAGGGTTTTACCCATTGCACGACAGCGGCCCCAGTATAAGAAGGTGGATCACAACAATGTATGTGACTCATGTTCCCAGTTATTGTTTGCAATCATTTAATACATGGCATGGGAGATCTTCATGAGCCTTGGTCATTAACATCTTTCTCGTGTCTTGAAAACTCATTTGTTTCTTCCTTGGTTGAATCCATTTGTATGGCCTTTCTCCCCCCCCCCCCCCCCAATAGCCTCTTGGTTTACAAATTATTTATTATTTATTTATTTACGACATGTATACCTCGCCCCTCTCACCCCGAAGGGGACTCATAGCGACTTACAGGTTATATGTACATACAATATATTTTAATTATTAGCATAGCACCATATTAGTATTATATATTACTAGATTGTACTATACCACTATTATTAGTAATATTACATGTAATATACATATATATATATATAATTATTATATTATTATATTGTATTATTATTAGTATTATATTGTATTACAATATTATGATCAATATTATATTTGCGTACAATATATTATAATTATTAGCAGAGCGCGATATTAGTATTATATATTACTATATTGTACTATACCACTATACTGTAATATTATTATTAGAGTTATAAATTATACTCTCCTATCTCACAGTGTTATTAAAAAAATTTATAATTTTATCCATGCATCTGGCCCTGCCTAGTGAAATTCCCTGTGTTTTTAATGTTTGATTTTATATTGTTGTGTTGTATATTATTTTGATTTTGCATTTTGCTTGTTTTTATTGTGTTTTGTGTTATATTACTTGTATTGTATTGATGGGCATGGCCTCATGTAAGTCGCACCGAGTCCCCCTGGGGGAGATGGAGCGGAGTATAAATAAAGTTTTATTAGTAGTAGTAGTAGTAATATTCCATGTAATATAAAATATATAGTTATTAGATTATTGTATTATTCGTATTATATTGTATTACAATATTATGATCAATATTATATGTTCATAAATATATTACAATTATTAGCAGAGCACAATATTAGTATTATATATAACTACATTGTATTATACCACTATATTGAAATATTATTAGTAATATTACATGTAATATATAATGTACAATTATTATATTGTATTATTAGTATTATATTGTATTACATCTTTTCCAGCGAATCATGTCATTTCAAAGCATAGCAGCATCAGTTCTGTTATCTTAGCTTCTAGTGAGGTTTTCTAGAATGAGCTTTTTTGCCACAATGTTTGTAGTCGTGTGTGTGTGTGTCAGAAGCAACTTGAGAAACTGCAAGTTGCTTCTGGTGTGAGAGAATTGGCTGTCTGCAAGGACGTTGCCCAGGGATGTTTGATGTTTTAACATCCTTATTGAAGGCTTCTGTCATGTCCCTGCATGGGGAGCTGGAGCTGAAAGAGGGAGCTCAACCCTCTCCAGATTCGAACTGCTGGCCTGTCAGTCAGCAGACATGGTGCCACTGGGGTCTCCAATGTTTGTAGTGACTTGTGTCTTAGACTACAACTCTGGAGACCGACCAGAATTTGAATCTTTGCTTTTCATGGAAATGCCCAGGATGACTACAGACTTTGGAAGGATCAAAGCTGGCTCAGGTGTTGTATTGCGACCCTCTATGATCATGAAAAGACAAAGTGTTGCCTCATTTGTATTAATGATGCCTTTTGTATGCTAGGAACCGCCGGCAGCTGCCTCCGCCGTTTCAGCACCATGCCCTTCATGTTCTGCAACATCAACAACGTCTGCAACTTTGCATCCAGGAATGACTATTCCTATTGGCTTTCTACCCCTGCGGAGATGCCCATGAGCATGGCACCCTTAACCGGAGAGAGCATCCAACCATTTATTAGCCGGTAAGAGAAAAACTTGGGTTCCTATCCAAATTGATATTTGTGTATTTTTTGTGATGCTTTGCATCTCACATCATATAGCTACATAGATGGTAGTAGTAGGGATGAGTTGAAAATGGGAGAGGAGAGGCTTAGAATAAGTGCCGAGGAAATGACGACACTGCCTCGTATGGAGTCAGAACTTTGGTCTGCTTAGACCAGTATTGTCAACATTGACCAGCAACATCACTTAGGGATTTCTGAATCCTATCACTAGCATTCCTCGATGGCTTTCTTACATTAATGCAATGTTTCTCAACCTTCCTAATGCCGCAATCCCTTAATATAGTTCCTCATGTTGTGGTGACCCCACAATCATAAAATTATTTTCGTTGCTACTTTACAACTGTAATATTGCTACTGTTATGAATCATAATATAAATATCTGATATGTAGGATGTATTTTCATTCACTGGACCAAATTGGGCACAAATACTCGATATGCCCAAATTTGAATACTGGTGGGGTTGGGAAGGGGGATTAATTTTGTCATTGGGAGTTGTAGTTCCATGGATTTATAGTTCACTTACAATCAAAGAGCATTCTGAAGTCCACCAACGATGGAATTGAACCAAACTTGGCACACAGAACTTCCATGACCAACAGAAAATACTGGAAGGGTTTGGTGGGCATTGATCTTGAGTTTTGGAGTTGTAGTTCACCTATATACAGAGATGTAGACTATGGACTCAAACAATTATGGATTTGGACCAAACTTAGCATGAGTATTCAATATGTTCAAATGTGAACACTGGCAGAGTTTGTGGAAAATAGACCTTGACATTTGGGAGTTATAGTTGCTAGGATTTATAGTTCACCTACAGTCAAAGATCATTCTGAACTCCACCAACGATGGAATTGAACCAAACTTGGCACACAGAACTCCCATGACCAACAGAAAATACTGTTACCTTGAGTTTTGGAGTTGTAGTTCACCTACCTCCAGAGAGACTCACCTACCTCCAGTTTTGGGGTTGTAGTTCACCTACCTCCAGAGAGACTCCCCTACCTCCAGAAGAGACTCCAACAATTACGGATTTGGACCAAACGTAGCATGAGTAATCCATATGCTCAAATATGAAAGCTGGTGGAGTTTGGGGAAAATAGACCTTGACATTTGGGAGTTATAGCTGCTGGGGTTTATAGTTCACCTACAACCAAAGAGCATTCTGAACCTCACCAACGATAGAATTGGGCCTAAGTTCCCACACAGAACTCCCATGACTAACAGAAAATACTGTGTTTTCCTATGGTCTTTGGCGACTCTTCTGACACCCTGTCGCGATCCCCCCCACCCACCCAGGGGTCCCGACCCCTAGGTTGAGAAATGCTGCATTAATATATTATGACCTGTTTGTGGGCTTTGCAGAACCATTGCATGAACTAAGACCCCAAACAAGAGCAAAACAGTAGGAACTCTTTCAATCCAAGGGTGAAACCCAACATCAGAAAAGTTATTGGGACTGAAATTAGCATATTTTACTTAAAGGTCCCTTGGTGGTGCAGTGGGTTAAACTGCTGAGCTGCTGAACTTGCTGATGAAAGGTTGGCAGTTCGAATCCAGGGAGCAAGGTGAGCTCCCACTGTTAGCCCCAGCTTCTGCCAACCCAGCAGTTCGAAAACATGCAAATGTGAGTAGATCAATAAGTACCGCTTCTGCGGAAGGTAATGGCACTCCATGGAGTCATGCTGGCCACATAACCTTGGAGGTGTCTACGGATAACACCAGCTCTTTGGCTTAGAAATTGAGATGAGTACCACCCCACAGAGTTGGACACGACTAGACTTAATGTCAGGGGAAACTCTTTCCTTTACTTAAAACTCTTACTACCTTTATCTGAGCCTTAGCAGAGACATTTCAGCCTTTTAGAGTAAGAGGGAAACTTGATACCAAATTGTGATATCAAGAGGAAGGGATTGTGGCCCTCAAGTATCCCAGACATTCCCAAGGCTTGAGGTTCTCCAGCCCTGAACTACTCCAGTGTAATGAAGAAGGGCTTTTTAGGGTTTGTTTGTTTTTTTTAGTCTCCTAATGTCACCTTTTGAATCTTTTCTCTTCAGCTGCGCAGTCTGTGAAGCTCCAGCCATGGTTATAGCAGTCCACAGCCAAACCATTCAAATCCCATTATGTCCACCGGGCTGGGAATCATTATGGATTGGTTATTCTTTTATGATGGTATGTCACTTAAACCTTCTGCTAATACTCCTGGCACCTCTTTGTCTTGCCCGTCTCCGTAATGTTGTCTGTCTCTTGTTTGTCTTGTCTGTCTCCATTGGTCCACACTCTTGTCACATCCTGTATAGACTACTGCAACGTGCTCTACATGGGGCTGCCTTTGAAGACTGTTTGGAAGCTTCAAATGGTCCAACGGGTTGAAGGGATTGTATGCTCCATTCCTTACTGGAATGGCGTACAGGGAGCATACAATCCACCTGCTGTGTCAGATCCACTGGCTGCCAGTCTGCTACGGAGCAGGATTCAGTGCTGGCTTTAGGCTATAAAGCCCTAAATGGTTCTGACCCACCTTACCTGTCTGGACACTTCTCCCTCTATGAACCATCATGGAGGTTAAGATCTCCTGGAGAGGCCCTGCTCTCAGTCCCATGTCCTTTGCAAGTGCGGTTGGTAGAGATGAGACACGGGGCCTTCTCAGTGGTGGCCCCTCGGCTCTGGAACTTCCTCCCCAGTGAAATTAGATTAGATTTATTTACTGTATTTGTATACCGTCTTTCTCAGCCCGTAGGTGACTCAAGGCGATTAACAGGGTAACATTCAATTCTTACAATATCATAAATACAATTAAAAACATAACATATAATAAAAATTAAACATATCAATAAAATATAAATTCATAGTGTCGCCTTGTTAAAAATGTTGTCCGGTCTCATTGTCGTCGTTCCATTTTCCTATGTCAGTTACTCTGCATTTGGAAATGCTTGTTCAAAAAGCCATATCTTGACTTTTTTCCGGAATGTTAAAAGGGAGGTGGCCGATCTAATATCTATAGGGAGCGCATTCCACAGCCGAGGGGCCACTACTGAGAAGGCTCTGTCTCTCGTCTCTGCCAAACATACTTGTGACGAAGGCAGTAACAAGAGCAGGGCCTCCACAGATGATCTTAAGGTTCATAAGAGGAGATGCGTTCGGACATGTAAGTTGCACCAGAACCGTTTAGGGCTTTATAGGCTAAAGCCAGCACTTTGAATTGTGCCCAGTAGCAAACTGGCAGCCAATGGAGCTGGCGCAACAGAGGAGTTGTATGCTCGCTGAGCACCGCTCCTGTTAGCAATCTGGCTGCCGTTCGTTGGACTATTTGAAGCTTTCGGACAGTCTTCAAAGGCAACCCCACGTAGAGCACATTGCAGTAGTCTATACTTTTTCAGAAAGAACATAAAGTCATTGTTATGGGACCAAGCCTTCTAGCAGTAAAGTAATGCAGTACAAGAAATGAATGGGAAATAAGAGCAATTGACAATTGGAATAACTTTGGATTGAGTTTTTGGATTATGTGATTTCAATGTTAATATTAAAATGTTTTTAATTCTGTGTTGTAATTGTTTTAATTTTATTGTGTTCTGTGTTTAATATGATTTTAATGGTTTAATGTATAGTTATATGCCATCGTTTTAGATACAATGCTTTCGTTTTATATGTATGTTGGCATTGAACCTTTCCATTACTTGATGTACAATCATTTGAGTCCCTCCAGGGGTGAGAAAAGTGGTATATAAATTCAGTAAATAAATAATAAACAAATCCATAATCCTCACAAAAATTGGAGGTGAGAGAGGTGGCCATTACTGCCCAACCAGTGTGGCCAAGGTCAGGATTAGATAGCGATAGCCTTTTGTCTAGAGCAGTGTTTCTCAACCTTCGTAATGCTGTGACCCCTTAATACAGTTCCTCATGTTATGGTGACCCCCAACCATAAAATTATTTTCGTTGCTACTTCAGAACTGTCATTTTGCTCCTGTTATGAATAGTAATATAAATATATCATAAGCAGGATATATTTTCATTCACTGGACCACATTTGGCACTAATACCCAATATGCCCAAATTTGAATACTGGAGGGGTTGAAGGGGGATTGATTTTGTCATTTGGGAGTTGTAGTTGCTGGGATTTATAGTTCGCCTACCATTGAAGAGCATTCTGAACTCCACCAACGATACAATTGAACCAAACCTGGCACACAGAACTCCCATGACCAACAGAAAATACTGGAAGGGTGGCATTGACCTTGAGTTTTAGAGTTTTAGTTCACCTACATCTAGAGAGCGCTGTGGACTCAAACAATGATGGATCTGGACCAAACTTGGCACAAATACTCAATATGCCCAAATGTGAACGCTGGTGGAGTTTGGGGGAAACGGATCTTGACATTTGGGAGTTGTAGTTGCTGGGATTTATAGTTCACCTACAATCAAAGAGCATTCTGAACCCCACCAACGATAAAATTGGGCCAAACTTCCCACACAGAACCCCCATGACCAACAGAAAATACTGTTTTCTGATGGCCTTTGGTGACCCCCCTGACACCCCCTCACGACCCCCTCAGGGTTCCCGACCCCCAGGTTGAGAAACACTGGTCTAGAGAGCATTTTGATGCCTATTTCAAGGAGAGGAAGGTCTCAGTGAAGAATACTCCTTTTTGTTTGGTTGGAGGAAAGCCCTTCCTCTTTAGGACTGTAACTCTCAGAATTCCTTACCAGCTGGGACTTGCATTCTCACAAAATCAGGAGAGACATATATTGCCCCTAGAGACAAAAAACCTTAAGCTAATGATAAGGCGATAATTATGGAGAGAAGGATGAAAACATCTTGAAGGCCAAAGGTCCCTCACCCTAGCATAACGGAATGCCATGCTCCTCTATTGCTTTGGAGGAGGCGTTTGTGCATTTTTGACATCATCACCTAGTACACTAGTCCTCACATTGAACCATTTATGCTCCAGGTCATGGAGAACATAGAAAAGTCTCTCTGGTGGGTCTGTAGATCCTAGAATCCTTCTACAAGCCAAGCTGGCTGTGAAAGTTTGGGTTAAAAACCACACCATTCCCAAACTCTGAAGACCACTGGAAAAAAAAATATCCACCATGCTTCACATTGATGGAGGCAAAAGACATCTCCAAATAATGTGGGGCCTTCTTCCACTTGCATTCCTACAAAATCTGGAGAGACATATATTGCCCCTTATCATTGACCTTGAAGTTTGGAGTTGTAGTTCACCTACATCCAGAGAGCACTGTAGACTCAAACAATGATAGATCTGGACCAAACTTGGCATGAGTACTCAATATACCCAAATGTGAACACTGCAGGAGTTTGGGGAAAATAGACCTTCAGATTTGGGAGTTGTCATTGCTGGGATTTATAGTTCACCTTCAATCAAAGAGCATTCTGAACTCCACCAATGATGGAATTGAACCAAACTTGGCACACACAACTCCCATGACCAAGAGAAAATACTGGAAGTGTTTGGTGGGCATTTGGTCGTTGCAGTTGCTGGGATTTATAGTTCACCTACAATCAAAGAGCATTCTGAACCCCACCAATGATATAATTGGGCCAAACTTCCCACACTGCATGACCTCCCTTCAGATATTGAACTATAGCTATCATGTCACGTCTTGGTATTCTCTTCTCCAAGCCAACCACACCCAACTCACTAAGTTGTTCCTTAGAAGACGTGGCTTTCAGACCTCTGATCACTTTGACCACCTTCTCTGGAGATGTTCCAGCTTAACAATGTGATGTTAATGTTACTTTTAGCACACCAGTGCTGGTGCAGAAGGATCTGGACAGGCATTGGCTTCTCCCGGTTCCTGCCTTGAAGAATTCCGCTCAGCTCCTTTCATTGAGTGTCATGGACGAGGGACCTGCAACTATTATGCCAACTCCTACAGCTTTTGGCTGGCAACTGTGGAGATGACAGAAATGTTTAGGTAAGCTTGTGCCTAGCTCTTGGAATAGTTCATTTTGGAATCCTGCTTCTGGAATATCTCCATCTTTGGCTGTATCTGTTAGGAGCAGGATACCAAAACAAGTTTGAATCCTACCATTGGATTGGATCCTACTGTTGGATTGGGCCCTACCATTGGATTGAACCCTACCATTGGATTGGATCCTACTGTTGGATTGGATCTTACTGTTGAATTGGTCCTACCATTGGATTGGATCCTATTGTTGGATTGGATCCTACTGTTGGATTGGATCCTACTGTTGGATTGGGCCCTACCATTGGATTGGACCCTACCATTGGATTGGATCCTACTGTTGGATTGGGCCCTTCCAATCCAACAGTAGGATCCAACAGACCTCACAACCTTGGAGGATTTTTTTTAATTGTGTCAGGAGCGACTTGAGAAACCAAGTCGCTTCTGGTGTGAGAGAATTGGCCATCTGCAAGGACGTTGCCCAGGGGACGCCCGGATGATTTGATGTTTTTATCTTAAAACTTAAAACAACCCACAGATGGCTAGTTGGTCAGATATATGGACAAGGGACCTCCAGTCCAAATAGTGGATGTGGACCTCCCCTGTTTTCTGTTTGGAAGCTTCTGCGGTGAGCAACCAATACAGATGCCAGACCTTCTATAACCGGGAGGGATCAAGATAGGGGTCTAGGAGAGTCACCACAACTTCTTTAGACAGCTCAGTGTGTGCTTTCCTTTGCAAGACCACCCAACTCTTACAACTCTTCAAAGAGAGAAACACAGAGAAAGAGAAACAGAAAGAAAGGATCACTGACACCTTGTTGGTGACTTGCATGCACCAAGTTGGGGTTTATGCACATTTATGTCTTTCACCAACTCCTTGTACAGCATCTAAGTATATAAACCCTTATAAGTATATATACTGAGTTGCCTTCGGGCTGATATGGGTGGGATAGAAATAGTGCAAATAAATAAATAAATAAATTTGGTAGGATCCAAACCAACAGTAGGATCCAATCCAATGGTAGGGTCCAATCAACAACAACAACAATGTATTGTCGAAGGCTTTCATGGCCAGAATCACTGGGTTGTTGTAGGTTTTTCCGGGCTATATGGCCATGTTCTAGAGGCATTTTCTCCTGACTTTTGTCTGCTGGAGCTAGGTGTGAATGTTTCAACTGACCACCTTAATTAGCATTTGATGGCTTGGCAGTGCCTGGGGGAATCTTTTGTTGAGAGGTGATTAGATGCCTGTGCCTGATTGTTTACTCTCTGTTGTTTTGCTGTTGTGATTTTGGAGTTTTTAAATATTGGTAGCCAGATTTTGTTCATTTTCATGTGTCCTTTGTCCCACCCTGGTCATTCCTGAAGGAGGGTCGTCAACATCCCTCCTCTCCTTCAGGAGAAAGCTGAAGACATGGATATGGGATCAGGCATTTGGGTAGTCTGGCAGGGTAACAAGGTAATGATGACTAGAGTTGGAAAGGACTATGGCAATGCTAAACGGATTGACGGATTTTAGAACACGATGAACGCGGGCTATAGAGCGGTTTTAGTTGATATTGTATTGTGCTGTATTGTACTGTATTAATTGTCTGTTTTTAATCTATTGTGTTATTGCTATTGCATTTTATTGTAATTGTGGGCATCGAATTGTGCCGGATGTAAGCCGCCTTGAGTCCCCCCTTGGGGGTGAGAAAGGCGGGGTAGAAATGACCGAAATAAGTAAATAATTGGTTGGTTAATGATTGGTTAATGAACACTGGAATGGAACAATGGATGACGAATCTGGAACATGTTTTTGATGACGAGACGACAGTGAATGGGTATTGTAGTAACTGTTTATTAATTGTGTAATGTGTTAGGTTGTTAACTGTTTCTATACTGTAGCACTGAATTTTTGCTGTTCGTATTTGTTGTGAACCGCTGTGAGTCGCCTTTGGGCTGAGAACAGCGGTATATAAGTAAGGTAAATAATAATAATAATAATAATAATAATAATAATAATAATAATAATAAATAAAATATAAAAACTCATTTTCCTCGTTCCAACAGACCTCACTACCTCTGAGGATGCTTGCCATAGATGCAGGCGAGACGTCAGGAGAGAATGCCTCTAGACCATGGCCATATAGCCCGAAAAAACCTACAACAACCCAATAACCATCTATGTTTGTGTTTTTCTCTTTACCAGTAAACCTCAGTCTGAGACGCTCAAGGCTGGAGAACTCAGAACGCGGATTAGTCGATGCCAAGTATGTATGAAGAGGACGTAATGCCTCAGAGACTTTTTTTAAAAGAAAGAAAGAAAGAAAACACACACAACAACAACTGAAAAAAATCATATGGTGCACTGTCCTTCAGCTATAACAATGGTGCTATTGTGCAAAAGGAACGAAGAATGACAATGCGAAGAGAAAATCCAGAATGTAGATTCCGGTGCACCCTCTCTGTTTCTCCCCCAAGTGCCTTCCTGGAGGCGTTCATCTGGTGCCGTTTTTCTTCAATTTTATTTTTATTTTTTGGTCAAGGAAAGTGACCTCTTGGGAAAAAAGAAGTTTAGAGACGCTCACGGGGCACTAAGGGTCCGAAGGTTGGAAGCGGCTATTCCTCCTCCAAGGGCCAAAGGGGCACCTTCTCAGGAATTGCCCCGGAGAGGAGGAGGAGGACAAACCAAATTCACTGTGACGATTCAGAGGAGGAGAAACTACAATTCTGCAAAAGCCCGACTTCATGGTGCTACTAACCCTACTGTATCCCAGGTTTTTTTTAATATGAAACGTTTTAAGCTTATTTCTTTTTTTTTTCCTTTGTAAGTAATGAAATGTGTATATTGTGTAAACACATTTTTTTTTAGTTTCCGACTTCTCAAATCATTTAGACACAAAACAGCCTTAAATCACCAAGAGAAATCAAATCAACCCTATATATATATAAATATATATATATTAAAAATACCCACTTAAAGCAGGGAGCAATATTGTATAGCCATTCAACAACAATGAGAGTTCTGTTTCTCTTGTAACAACTACTGAATTTTGAAAATTTTTATATATATATATTTTCCTGGAGTCCTGGTCACGTTTTATTTGGGAAATGTATAATAATGCTTTAGTCGTTACTTTAACAAACAAACAAAAAACAGGGTTGTTTATGTCTCTAATGCAGGCATGGACAAACTTGGGCCTTCCAGGTGTTTTGGACTTCAACTCCCACAATTCCTAACAGCCTCAGGTCCTTTCCTTTTTTCCCTCAGCCGCGTAAGCAATTAAGCTAGACTGCTACCATAAGACACACATGGGGCTTCCCTTGTTGACTGTATGCAAAATTGGTTTAGTGGGGCCCCTTCTACACTGCTGTATAAAATCTGGATTATCTGCTTTGATGTGAATTATATGACAGTGTAGACCAGGCATGGGCAAACTTGTGCCCTCCACATGTTTTGGGCTTCAACTCCCACAATTTCTATCAGACACAGGCCCATTCCTTTCCCCCTTCAGTCACTTAAGCCTCATTATTTGGGCTCAATAACATTCCCCCGTTGAGATCTCAGGCCCCTTCCTTTTCCCCCTCAGCCGCTTAAGCAATTAAGCTAGACTGCTGCCATAGGACACACATGGGGCTTCCCTTGTTGACTGTGCAGAATGTAAAATTGGTTAAGTGGGGTCCCTTCTACACTGCCATATAAAATCCTGATTATCTGCTTTGATGTGAATTATATGACAGTGTAGAGCTTAAGCGGCTGAAGGGGAAAAGGAAAGGGCCTAAGGCTGTTAGGAATAGTGGGAGTTGAAGTCCAAAACACCTGAAGGGCCAAAGTTTGTCCATGCCTGCTCCAATGTATTCCACACTCCTGGTAATTTTATTTGTCCTTAAATACCAAAAAAAGGCAACAACATTTTAAAAATGTTTTATTTTTGCATATTCTGTGAAAAACAAAAAATTGAAATGTGCAACCATGTCCTATATTCTTCTAAACGAAAGACACCAAGGCATAGCCGTTCATATATGTAATTACATTGCGTTGGTTCCGCTCGATACCCCTTGGGAAATATAGGCAGGTTAAACACAAACGTTATAAATATTATGAAAGACACACGCGCGCACACACAAAACCACACTTTTTTCTTTCTGGAAACGACATCTAGTATTTTATATCCAGAATACCTGTACACTTTGGAAATCCTTTTGACTGAAATAAAGTGAAAACTGGTGAAAACAGACCTTTTTCCTACCCGCATGTCGGTTATTTGAAGGAAACTCCTTCAGGTCATAACGTATTTGTTGAACTGTGGAAACTATGCCTCTCTGGTCCCTGACTTGTCAAATATGTGATAGACGCCACACTGAAAGGAAAAAAATAATTGGTCGAGGGGACATCCAGTTCCGGTGATTCCATGCATTCATAGCATTTGCTGTTTAGAAATAGGTGTCTCCATGTCATGCCACCTTTCCACAATTCAGCTTTCCACGTTTTCTCTTTCTTTTGCCGCCTCTTGATGGTTCGGGCCCAAGAGAAGGAACTCCTGTCTTTTGGAATGGTAGGTTCTTCCTCTGAATGGATTTTCTCACTGGGTGAATTATAGTGGTGGGGTCTGGTGATGGATCCACTTTCCTGCTGGTTCCCTTGGGCTCTGGTCACTCACCCAGCTGCCCTTTGTCCCCACCAAAACCCTCCTTGGATTGAGTACTTGGGCTTCACAAAATCATAGAATAATACAGTTGGAAGAGCAAATATGGGCCATCCAGTCCAACTCCTTTCTGCCAGGCAGAAAAAGCACAAGCAATTCTTCTTGCGAGGATTTTCCCAATGGAGGTTAGAAGGCAGATACCTCGATAGTTTCCACAGTTCGTTCTTTCTCCTTGTTTGAAAGGGGTGATGATGGTGGCATCCTTGAAGTCTGCTGGGATTTTCTCAGTCACCCACACTTTTTCAATGAGCTGGTGGAGTAGTTGTGTCAGCTCAAGTCCACCCTCTTTAAAAATTTCAGCAGGGATCCCATCAGGTCTGCTGGCTTTGTTATTATTTTTTTTGTTGGCTGATGACTAGACAAACTAGACAGTGCAGCAAGCTCGTCAGGCAGGAAAAGCACAATCAATGTACTCCTGACAGATGGCCATCCAGCCTCTGCTTATAAACCTCCAAAGAAGGAGCTTCCACCATACTCGTGAGTTCCACTCTTGAATCTCCTTTCCTGTTTTTTGAATCCATGGCTCCATTGAGTCCTAGTCTCCAGGGCAGCAGAAAATAAGTCTTCTCCCTCTTCCTTATTACAACCTTTCAGATATATAAACACGGTGATCGTGTCTTCTCACAACCTTCTTTTGAGACCATAGTGACCATTTGTGTTTACCTGTGGTTGTGTTGTGGTCAGGCCCGTAGCCAGGATTTTGATTTGGGGCTGAGTTTGATTCGGGGGGGGGTTAGTTTAGGTTGAGAATCAGGCCCGTAGCCAGGATTTTGTTTCGGGGGGGGGGGGGCTGAGTTTGGTTTGGGGGGGGCTGAGTCTGAGTGAAAGAGGGTCTACCCTAGCAAACCTTTTGTATCGTTACCCCAATACCCCCATGCATATGGGATATATTGAGCATGGTGATCAGATCATGATATGAATAAACATAACAGTTTAAATAATGCACCAGTAAGGCCTTTTCGCGAACCACCATGAGAATTTCGGGGGGGGGGGCTGAAACCCCTCAAGCCCCCCCCCCCCCCGGCTACATGCCTGCGCCCTGTGGGGTCATAAGGGAATGCCAGAGGGGTCACCAAAGACCATTAGAAAACACAGTATTTTCTGTTAATCATGGGGGTTCTGTGTGGGAAGTTTGGCCCAATTATATCATTGATGGAGGGCTGGTTCCTTGCCAAAGAGGGCTGGTTCCTTGCCAAGCTACAACTCTCATTACTGTATAGCATTGGGCCATAGAGTTAAAGTGGTGTCAGACTGCATTAATTCCATTGTGTAGATGTACCTCCATCTTGTAACTTCACGAATCAACAGCCTGAAGGTGCAACTGAAGTCACAATTCAAATGACATCCATGTTAGATTGACTGCAAGTGCATCTCTACACTGTAGAATGAATGCAGTCTGATACCACTTTAATGCCGTGGCTCCATGATATGGAATCCTGGGAATATCACTTTGGTGAGACGAAAGAACTTGCAAAGTTACAACTCCCAGGATTTCATAGCATGGAGCCATGGCAGTTAAAGTGGTGTCAAAATGCATTCATTCTACAGTGTAGAGCAGCATTTCCCAACCTGGGAGTCAGTACCCCTGGGGGGATCGCGAAGGGGTGCCAGAGAGGTCACCAAAGACCAACAGAAAACACAGTCTTTTTATTAGTCATGAGGGTTCTGTGTGGGAAGTTTGGCCCAATAATATACGTTAGTGGAGTTCAGAATGCTCTTTAATTGTAGGTGAACTATAAATCCCAGCAACTACAACTTCCAAATGTCAAGGTCTATTTTCCCAAAACTCCACCAGTGTTCAGAATTTGGGCATGTTGAGTATCAGATCCATCATTGTTTGTGTCTCTGGATGTAGGTGAACTACAACTCCAAAACTCAAGGTCAGTGCCCACCAAACGCTTCCAGTATTTTATGTTAGTCATTGGAGTTCTGTGTACCGAGTTTGGTTCAATCCTATTGTTGCAGTTCAGAATGCTCTTCGATTGTAGGTGACCTATAAATCCCAGCAATTAAAACTCCCAAATGTCAAGGTCTATTTTCTCCAAACTCGAACAGTGTTTACATTTGGGCATATTGAGTATTTGTGCCAAGTTTGGTCCAGATCCATCATTGTTTGAGTCCTCAGTGCTCTCTGGATGTAGGTGAGCTACAATTCAAAAAAGCAAGGTCAATGTGCACCAAACTCTTCCAGCATTTTCTGTTGGTCATGGGACTTCTGTGTGCCAAGTTTGGTTCAATTCCATCATTGGTGGAGTTCAGAATGCTCTTTGATTGTAGGTGAGCTATAAATCCCAGCAACTACAACTCCCAAGATGTCAAGGTCCATTTTCCCCAAACTCCATCAGTTGGCATGTTGAGTATCCATACCAAATTTGGTCCAGACTCCAGATCCATCGTTGTTTTGGTCCAGACTCCAGATCCATTGTTGTTTGAGTCCACAGTGCTCTCTGGATGTAGGTGAACTACAACTCCAAAACTCAAGGTCAATGTCCACCAAACCCTTCCAGTATTTTCTGTTGGCCATCATTGGTGGAGTTCAGAATGCTCTTTGATTGTAGGTGAACTATAAATCCCACCATCTACAACTCCCAAATGTCAAGGTCTATTTTCCCTAAACTCCACCAGTGTTCACATTTGGGCACATTGAGTTTTTGTGCCAAGTTTGGTCCAGATCCATCATTGTTTGAGTCCACAGTGCTCTCTGGATGTAGGTGAACTACAACTGCAATGCCTATTCCTAACCATAAGAGGGCAATACTTGCAAAGGAAACAGGGGAAAATAATACTGAAAACAGTGTGGAGAGACATTTGTTTTTATTGCTAAAGGATTTATTTGGTTTTCTGGGAGACTGTTCACCAGATGGATAGACGGATGGATTGGGAGGCCTGTCAGGCTGAAGAGTGGCAGCCAAGAGAACTGGCACACGAGAACGGTTGTAAAAACAAATCAGTTGCATTTTGTAAAGCAATGTTCATCTTTTTGCCTTTTTCTGATCAGCATGGTCTGGGAAACTAGAATTCCAAAAGTAACAGTATGTCCTTTGGGGGGGCGGGGGCGGGGGGAGAGCCCTGGGAAACTTTTTGCTTTTCAAAAAAGTTTCCAGTTTTTCTCCCTCCGGTTTATTTATTTTTATTTATTTATTTACGACGTTTATATGCCGCCCTTCTCATCCCGAAGGGGACTCAGAGCGCCTTACAAGTTATATATTACATACAATCTATCTATATATAAATGCTCTGTGCATAATGAGTTCCTTTAAAACAAAATAACCAATGAACGAAATCACACCAAATTTGGCAACAAAACGTCTCACAACACAAGGAGTGACCATCACTCCAAAATTATGATTTTGTCATTTGGGAGTTGTGGTTGCTGG